AGCGATTGTGAATGGAAGTTCATTCATGATTTGGCTCTCTGTCTGTTATTGGTGTGTAGGGATGCTTGTGATTTTTGCACATTGATTTTGTATCCTGAGACCTTGCTGAAGTTGCTTAAAGTATAAGCTATAAAGTATAAGAGACTATGAAGATAATTTCAGAAAGATTTCAGAAACTCAAGGGTCACTCTCAGATACCAGAAAGCAAACAGCCTGTTGAATTGTATTATTTCAGTTAATTATGGTGGACCTCAAAAAGCAGTAGAAATTTCCTCTATCACTCATAATAGTTGATGGCCTTTTATTAAAAGACTAAATTTTAAGGTCATAATAGATATTATTGATCCACTAAATGATAGCAAATACCTTTTGAGTGTCAAACTTTATACATATTTATTCTTTTCTTGCTAGCAGGAAGTAGGTGTTACTTATCCCCATTTTTCAGACGAAATTGAAGCTTACAGAGGTTAAATAACTCCTCAAGATCACCTAGCTAATAAAGACCACACCAAGAATTTGAATCAAACAGACCAGTCCCCAGAGCCTGTGCCATAAGGGAACTGCTTGGCTGTTTATAATTCAGGGATTAATTTATGTCTTTATGAAGTGGCTGCATTTTAATACAAAATATGATGTTCTATTTCCTAATGGTTTTCAACTCTCAGCTTCATGCTTTAAAAGTAGTGTTTTGAATGCATTTAGTTATTTGTACTAACATGTAGCACCCCTTCCTCGCCATTTGAGGTATATCATACGTGTTATATTCCCCAATATTAGACTCCAATAACTAGCGTATATTAACAGTAAAGTCTTAGTATAACGAATGGAAAGGACCCCAGACGCAAGGCAGGTTCCAATTGCACGCCTTCTGTGCTTGACAGTTTTAGGCAAGAGACTTCTACTTGCAGGGTTGTCATTTCCCCCGCCTCAAAATCAGAGGAGTGGGTGATCTTTTTGGTCTCTTCCAGTTCCAACTGTGATTGTGAATTCAATTGATAAACTGGTTATTGAAACAATAGGTGTGGTGAAATGAAAAATGGAAGCTTCCTGTTTTTATTTCAGTCCAATAATAAGGCATGTTGTTTGCTTCCTCTTGACTCAACACTGTTCTAGGAAAAATCTATTCTACATAGATTCCTTAACAAAAACACGTTGATTCCTAAAGGTCTTCTGAATGTTTGGATAGCCAATGGCTTTGCAACACAGCCTCGCCACTACATGAGGCCATGACTCCAATAAACTTATTTCAGGCCAGTGTAAATGCAATGTTCAAAAATCCCACCTAAGAAGGATGGGAACACTGAGGTTTGAGTAGGTAACATGCAGGTGTGTGCACACGTCCCCAAGAATGCACATGCACATACATGGACACAACTGCAATCGATACAAAACACTCAACTGTGCTGATTCTTACAGGTACTTGGTTCTGGCCCAGTCTGGAAAAGAAAAAAGACCCTAAGTCAATCTATACATGTATACAAAATAGAATTCCCACCATGCTTTGATGTTATCTATTTATAATTTTCAATGTTTCAATGTTTTGTGGTCTTAAAAAATATAGGAATTATTATCAATGTACTTAATGTGCCTTGATAGCTATCAAGCTGTCCTGTCTCTGCTGCAAATACAAAATTAGGGATTTAGTAGAAACCCCATCTCTAGTAAAAGTACAAAAATTAGCTGGGCATGGTGGGGCACACCTGTAATCCCAGCTACTTGGTGTCTGAGGCAGGAGAATCGCTTGAACCCAGGAGGCAGAAGCTGCGGTGAGCCAAGATCGCACCACTGCATTCCAGCCTGGCCAACAGAGTGAGAACCTGTCTCAGAAAAAAAAAAAAAAAAAAGAAGGCACAGATCTGATTATTAGGAAGCTGAGGTCCTTTTTTATACTTAGTATTCACTGAAGCGTGAATTACCTTTCACGTCCTCTAAGCATACCAACAAGGAGGCTGGAGTTAGAACTTATGTTAGAGCCAGCCTGCCTGGGACACAGCCTGGCCCTGCCATTTGTTGACTGTGTGACCATGAACAAGCTTCCTCATGAAACTCTGTCTTAGCTTCCCTGCCTTAATAAGTAAAAAGATCAACTACTTCATAGATTTGTAAAGATTAAATAAAATAATACACACAGTGTGTGACAAGTGACAGTCAACGAATGTTATTATTATATTATAATATGTTATATTGCCATATTATAAATAAATATAAATGATATAAACAAATTATAATAATAGTAATTATTATTCATTTCTTGACTTGAATAAGTTCATTGTGGTTTTTAGACATTTATCCTTTGTGAATTTGGGGTGGAACAAATATTTTAGGCAAATCTGTCTGCCAACTAACTATCTGAAATATCTTTTCATTAAACATAAATTCTTAATTTAGGAGTCAAACTCTTTTTTTTCTTGCCATATACTTTGGGTGTTTTGGAGTGCTGTTTAAGAAAACTTAACCGTCTCCAATATCACAGAAGTAGTTTGCATTTTCTTCTCATAGTCAGTTTCAAATTTTATTCCATGCTGATCCTGGGATGAGGGTTTCTGAACTTCCATGAACTAATTTTTCAATCAGCCTCTTGTTCATTGACTCAGCACATGAGTGTACAAGATCCAGGAGTGAATACAGCATGCAGAGAAGGTTGGAGACAGTGTGCCACTTGGTGGGGAAAATGAAGGGCTAGGGAGTATTGTATTTACTCTAAATGTGGAAAGGAAGTAGAAGGGTGAGAGGACAGTAACACATTGTTTTAAATCTAATGTACAAAAATGTTTACTTTAAAAGGAGTCACTGGAGAAAACAGAAAACACACAATCACTTGTCTTTTTTTCACCCACCTGCCATACATGGAACATTTTATCTTTGTCTGCAGAAATACACAGACACACATATAAATGAGTGTCATGCCTATTTGTATTATTACTCAGTAGAAAAAATGGTCAAAGGACATGAACAAATATGGCACAGAATAATATAAAATAGACCTTAAACATAAAAAGATGTTTATCTTCACTCACAGGAACAAAAAAGGAAATTAAAACCACAATGTGATACTATTTTCACCTGTCAAATTAGCAAAGCCCCAACATTAAGCAGTACGCTCTCAGCTTTCACACACATTGTGGGAGAAGGGGTTAGGGATATTTCTATGGAGGGCAAGTTGGCAGTACCTATAAGGAATTACCAGTGCACATGTTCAAATGACATAAAACACTATTATTCGTTTCAGCATTCTTTATAACAGCAAAAGATTGGAACTAAACCAAGACACTGATTAAAAGTATGTTCACCAGTGGAAAATACCTGTATTTAGCTGGGTACGGTGGCTCACGCTTGTAAATCCAGGCCTTTGGGAAGCTGAGGCGGGCAGATCGCTTAAGATTAGAAGTTCAAGACCAGCCTGGCCAATCTGGTGAAACCCTGTCTCTACTAAAAACACAAAAATTAGTTGGGCATGTTGATGGGAGCTTGTAGTCCCAGCTAATGGGGAGGCTGAGTCAGGAGAATCTCTTGAACCCGGGAGGCAGAGGTTGCAGTAAGCCAAGATCACACCACTGCACTGCAGCTTGGGAGACTGAGCGAGACTGCATCCAGAAAAAAAAAAAAAAAAAAAAGAAAAATACCTGCAGTGAAGTGTCCCTGTATACAGACATAAAAAGAGCTTTAGGATTTATAAAAGAAAAGAGATGTGCAGAATAATATATGTTGTACACTCCCTGTGTAAGAAGGGTAACTCAGAACATATATATATGTACATGGATACTTATATATGTAAATCCATATTTATCTAAATAAAAATTTGAGTGTTTTAGAACCATGTAAATGTTCAAATGTATTTATCTCACAATAGGATTAATAGGGTTATGCTATGAATATTATTTTTCAACACCACACCTATTTATTTTCCAGTGGAATCTACTGTATGAAAGGAAAAGGAAAACTCAGGACCCCAATTCACTATGCTATGTTTTAGAAAAAAATAAGCCAAAAGCTGGCTCATGGGAGAAGCTGCCTTTTCTTTTGTGCCTAAACAGAGAGCTACAGATGAAAGGTCAAATAGTTCCAGAAGTAGCTACTCTATGTTCACTGTATCTTATGTAAAGTGCTGATTTACTGAGTGCAACATGAATACAAAATGTGGCAGTTCCCCTGCCTGCTCCCTTGCTCTTGCAAGGTGTGGATTGTTATATGCTTCTTCTTTCCCCTCCAGCCCACTTTTCGTTTTTAAATATTGAGGCCCTCAAATGCATCTTTGGAGAAAGGCACAGACCATAGACTATTTCGGTGATTCCGTGTTATTTTCTTCTGGGCGTGCCCTTCATCTAGGCAAAACAAACTTCTAAGTTGATTGAGGCCTGAGGCAGATACTTTTTGGTTTATTACTGTCTCTAGAGTAGAGTTACCAACAGTGCACGCCGATACTGTGGAGGGCTTGCGTGTGCCAGGTGCTATTAACTCATCTAATCCACATAACTTCAGGAAATGGGGCATTATAACTTCATTTTACATGAGGAGATTATGGCACATAGAGTTCCTGGAACTCATCTGAGGTCACACAGATGCTAAACACCATACCCAGGATTCCTGGGACCAGAGAGCATGTGCTGAGCCTCTCCATCACGCTGCCTCTCTGGTGTTAGGGCAGGTCTTCTGGGGGTATCGTGAGGATCAGGAAACACGGTGTCTGCGAAACACTCTAGAGCTGAGCTCGCACGGTACGCGTCACAGGAGATGGTGTCCTGTTGCCACTGGAACGTCCTAAACCAACTTAATCTGGTGACTCTGGTGACACTTAAAACGGAAGCCACATGGGCCCCTTCATTTGGTTGTGATTCCTCTTAGAAGGTGTCATAGACACTAGCTCAGGGAAAGAAAGAGAAATGGGATGTTGGACCATTCTTACAACCAACACAGAATTCCATAGCCCAATTGCCATGAGGTTTCTTACCTTGGATTTTCAATCCGGTATCATCCAATTAAAATACACATGGACAAAAGTCAACTTTTCATTGTTTTAAATTTATTTTGCCTATTACAAAAAACACACCACATAATTCAACTAGCAAAGAAAGCTGCTTCAGGGTGTGTAAAATGAAAGGCTTCCAGGCAGTTATCTGATTAAAGAACACTAAGGGAGGGACAAGGCCAGAAGCCGCGGACTGTCTACACCATGGCAGTGGCTATTTGGGTTGGCTGGAGGAGCTGTGGAGAATATGGAGAGAGTGGTGCTGGAGACCGCCATGGCTATTCCTCATTGTCATCACAGAGTGAGGTTTTCCGTGTGCCCACTGGTTTGAAAACCATTTTACAACAATGATAGAATAGTACACACATGTGAACTGAAATAGCCCAAACCCGGAAAGGAAGCCCAACTAGATCCTCAGAAGACACTTCTAGGGACAATAACCGATGAGGAAAAGATGGTGTCCTTGTGCCACCGTCTGTTACGGTCTCTCTCCATTGCAGCAGACAGCCGTTCTTCTAAGCAGACAGACGGCGATGATGGCAAAATAGACCTCACTCTTGATGAGCAGGACGAGGTACATGTAATATGCAGAGGTGTTTGTGAGCTGCAGCAGTAGTGCATCTAAGAGAAATTTCACATGTTCTTTTTACAGAATGACATATATTAACGGGAGAGGGGTTCGCAAATACTTATTTCTGACGATTTACATTGAAGTGATATTCTACCACCACCAAAACCTAAAAGTAAACATCTACTGCTACCACCACCACCAAGAGTCAGATAAGTCAGAGTTCAGCTTTCAAGTTGATTAACAACCTCTGCTAAATTCACGTAGAACATTCCAAGCTATTAAAAAGTAAGGTTGCATTGTAGGAAAGCAAAGAAAGTGGTTAATCCAGATTCCCTAATGTGTTAGGTAGCTGTGGCACACTCACCTGTCTTTCCTAAATGTCTCTGATTATGGCTATGTTGTTACTGGGTGATTGCATTTAATATTATTTGAGGTTTTGCAAGATATATGTGCTGTCAAGGAATAAGTAAAGACAGTGCGGGTGGACCACCAGTGGCTACTCAACGAGCTATGAGGCTGAGTCTCTGCCTGCAGAAATTTCCATTTTACATGTTTTGTCTTCATGATGTCAGAACTCCAGAAACATCAGTACGTGGTGTGGAAAAGTGATGCGTTCATAACTCCCTGCCCTTCATCAAGTGAGATGTTACTGCCCTCCTTGCCTGGTGTGGCAGCTTAAGTCAGAGCCCCTTGGTATTGGAAATAGAAGAAAGTTGAGCAGGGCTAGAGCCAATGCTTCTAGTCACATTCTTTGTGTATATGTAGAGAGAAAAGGCCAGAAACAAGTACTCATTCTGTGTCTGCTAAATGAGATACCCTATGCTAGACATCTCACATTCATGCTCTTATCTCTTCAAAAACTGTGAATCTGATGTAATTATTCGTCGTTGGCTGATTAAAAAAGATGTAACTCACAAAATATAGGTCACTTACACCTAATCATTTAAAGAGCTGGAGTGAAGTTCACTCTGCAAAGCCCATGCACCCACCCATCCCCACATTATATCCTTTTTGCTTTGGGTTCCTGGCTTTGTAATTTCTTGCTATCTGACTCTATTGCAGAAAAATAATAGGAAACTTACTAAGTACATAAACTCTTTGTTTGATGGCCTGATTTGAAATCCCAGATTTAGCTGTGTGACATGTATAGGGATTTTTATAATTATTTGCTTTAAAGGGAGTGTAAATTGTGAGAAAAAAATAATGTACCATTTTATAGGGGTATTAAGAGGGTTATACAAGAAAATGCAGAACACAACTCAAGCCCTTCTGTGTAAAAAGCGCTTGATAAACACTAGTTCTTGTTATTAGCTACTAGCAAAGACCAAAGACTAAAACAAAACAACTCGAGAAGCAACATGGTATCATGTTTTCCCCAATCATTAAAACAAAAGATATGAGGCCGGGCACAGTGGCCCACATCTGTAATCCCAACACTTTGGGAGGGCGAGGGGGCAGATCACGAGGTCAGGAATTTGAGACTAGCCTGGCCAACATGGTGAAACCCCGACTCTACTAAAAATACAAAAATTAGCCAGGCATGGTGGCATGCGCCTGTAGTCCCAGCGACTTGAGAAGCTGAGGCAGGAGAATCACTTGAAGCTGGGAGGCAGAGGTTGTGGTGAGCTGAGATCATGACGGCACTACAGCCTGAGTGACAGAGCAAGACTCTGTCCAAAAAAAAAAAAAAAAAAGACACTTGGATGAATAAAATGTTTTTTGAAATAGTTAAAAGCATATCACTTTACCCTCTAATTTACAGTCATCTCATACCCCAAAGCAGTAGTTTGCTTTGTTAATACAACTCCTAGAAAAGGAGGGACTAATTTAAAATATCACAAGGTCCATTCTGCAGCATCCAACCTAACAAAATCCATTCCCTGATTTTTCAAGCCAGAGAAGTTCAAAAGTTAAAATGATCACGAGGAAGTAAAAAACACAAAAACTTACCATTTGCATCTTTTGAACAATTGTTTTTGGGATCCACTGTGGTGACATCTAGAATGAGAGCAAGTACTAGTCAATTATTCATGCCCATTATTTGTCAAGATGTGTGTGTATGTTTGTGTGTGTGTGTGTGTAATTAAATGAATATTGATAAAACCTGTCAACAGAGAGGCAGGACAGTTATGAAAAATATGAGCCCACAATTCCAGAAATAATTGGTCTAATTCTATGTGATTAGATAGATCTAATTCATATATTATGTTTTTGCACATCAATATGTCGAAGTTCATGAAGAATATATTTTTTTCTTTTTTATTCCAACTGGAGTGTAGTATCCAAGATCATTTGGTTTTCCTTCTGTATTCATAGTCTTAGCACAGTGTCTGCCACAAAGTATGTTTTTGATAAATATTTGTTCAATGGAAAAATAAACAGAACAAGTGGTTACTTTACAGCCTTTAACACACACTACTGACATAAGATCAGCAAAGAGATTAATTTGGGTTTTTTTTTTTTTTTTTTTTTTTTTTTTTGAGGCAGTGTCTCACTGTTGCCCAGGCTGGAGTGGAGTATAGTGTGGTGTCATCACGGCTCACTGAAGCCTCAAACTTCCCAGGCACAGGTGATCCTCCCATCTCAGCCTCTTGAGTAGCTGGGAGTACAGGCACATATCAGCACGCCCAGCTATTGTTTGTATGTTTTGTAGAGACAGGGTTTTGCCATGTTGCCCAGGCTGGTTCTGAACTCCTGGATTCAAGCAATCTTCCTCCCTTGTCCTCCCAAAATGCTGGGATTACAGGGATAAGACACCACACCCGGCCAAGAATTCTTTCAGTCCTAGAATCCATAACAGAATCTTACATGTTTGAAGGAGTCTGGCTTAGAAAAATTTCTCACCTAAGCAGAAAAAAGCAGTCATTCCTTTCCAAATCATGCATGTCCCCAACGTCCCCAGCAAATACCCATGATTTTCTGGAGGAATAGTGTTTCTGGACATAACAACAACAACATTAACAAAAGCTAATATCTACTGAGTATTCATTACTGTCTCAGGCACTATGTTAAATGCTTCCCATGCATTTTTTGTTTAATTCCCCAATAACACTGAAGTGAGTTGTATTATGTATGACCCAATGTTCTGAATGAGGAAATGAAGTTTAAAAAGTGCAGGCAACTTGCTGAGAGTCGTATCAGTGAACAACAGAGCCAGTATTCAGACAGTAGTCATAGGGGAAGAAAAGAAATTGGACATTTGAAAAGTACTTAGTAGAAATAATCCACAGAAATAGATAGAAAGTAATTTATAAAGAGACAATATAACGTCACCATTGTGTACTCTAAGAAAATCTCTGAGTATGTTAATTATTCTCAGCAAATGGTCTTTTTTATTACAGGAGCTTAGCATTTCAGTGCAATTCTTTCTGGGACGAGAAAGAGATGGGCCAAGTCACATTGATAGTTCTCTGAATAAAACCTGAGGTGAGAGTTGAATGTATCTGTGATGTTTAAAAAAAAAGGAAGACGCAAACATGCAAACAAAGACAACATATTTTAAAGCAGAAGAAAACAGAGTCGCATTGGTGTTTGGGTTTATTATTTTTCTAGTAGATGTGTTCTTATCTATACGGATATGATTCTGGTGTGCAGTTTTATGCACTCACTGAGATCTTTATTTCATGTATTCTCAAAAATGGACTTGAGGCATAGGTTTTGGGTAAGTCTCACGAATGCAAATGTTAGTTATCATGTCTGCATGCCCAAATATCTTTAAGGGCTGACTTTAATGGGTTTTCAATGTTTTCTTCTTTTCCTTAGGTTAATTTTATTTATTAAAAGATAAATGAAAATGACTATCACTTATTTCCATGTATTGATTGAGATAAAAAGAATAAAGTAACTATTCCTCATAATAAAATCTGTAAGAGTATCCTGAGTTCTCTCTCTCTCTCTCAATCAAGGTTGGTTGCAAATGTGGACCGGATTAGTTTTATCTCCTTTAAAAGCACTTCATTGATTATATAATATGATCACTTCCATGTTATATTTTTAGCTTTTCTCAGAAAAAAACAAACTTCCAAGAAAGAGCATTAGAAATCTACTGTGGAATGACATTAAGAGCAGTGTCCTCCTTAACGTAGTTGCCTTGATAAGTGCATGAAAGACATTGTACTTTTAGGCCAGGCACAGTGACTGACGCCTATAATCCCAGCACTTGGCAGGCCAAGGCAGATTGATTACTTGAGATCAGGAGTTCGAGACCAGCCTGGCCAACATGGTGAAACCCCATCTCTACTAAAAATATGAAAATTAGCCAGGTGTGGTGGCAGACGCCTGTAATCCCAGCCAGTTGGGAGGCTTAGGTAAGAGAATTGCTTGAACCCGGGAGGTAGAAGTTGCAGTGAGCCGAGATGGTGCCAGAGCACTCCTGCCTAGGCAACAACAGCGAAACTCTGTCTCAAAAAAAAAAAAAAAAAAAAAAAAAAGCAGGTAGAAAGACATTTTACTTTTAGAATTTAGTGTAAAGGAAAACACATTATAAAACTGTAACTTGTCGCCTGTATAATATTCACTGTCCTGGAACTTACTATACATTTTATTTTGCCCTAATCACTGGAAAAATCAGATCACGTAAGCACAGTGGTAAGACTACCCTCAGGCTTTGCACATTTGCCTCCCCTTTGTGTCTCGGCAAAGGAAATAGAAAATTGGAACTGTTTTTAGATAAATATCATTTTGTCAACAATGAACCCATCGTTTTTAGGTTAAACTTTGTGGGTAGCAAGATTGAGGTGACTCTGCCTGCTTCAGTAGAACATTCCTAAAAGGCATATATTTGTTCTTATTTCCAGATCAAGTAAAGTCATCAAGAGAAGGGAGAACTCTTTTTGAGCGTTTACCACTTGCTTCATTGCTAGATGCTTCCGTGTATATTGTTTCCTTTAATCCATCTAACAACCCTAAAAACCAGCATGTGATTTCTTATTTTGGATAATGGAGCTGAGGCTGAGAAACCTTCAGTAACCTTTTCAATTTCATTTTCTCCAAAACCCACACCATTTTAATTCTATAGAAAAGTAGCAGGGCATTTATGCTACCATTAAATGTGACACCAATTAAGAAAGATTTATGCTTGTTTTTCATTAATAATGAAAGGAAAAAATGCAGGATTCCCTTTCAAAGACGTGTTCTGAGAGATGATATGTGTAAACACATACCTGTCTTTATTGGAGGAAAGATAATTTCTTGATCAACTCCATTTTTATTATTCTCATGTCTGACGATACATCTGTGCTCTTTATCCAGTGACTTTTCTGGCACCGTTAACCAGCTAAATTTCATGTATGTGTCGTTAGTCTTCATGGTGTTCCCCTCTTGGGATTTCAGAACCTTGTTGCTGTTCTTTTCTTGCCAACGTATCTCAATAACATCTGGGAAAAATTTCTCAAGAAGACAAAGGTATGTTCCAGCCTTGTGGAAGTTTGTTTCAGCAATAGAAGGAAGAAAAATAGTGGGCTTGGGTGAAACATCTGCATCAAGGTGTTTATCTATGGGGAGAAATGGAATATGAATTTAAAAGAATCATGAGAGAAACACACACATTGCACGGTTTGGAATGGCCTAGTACATAACAATAAAAAGAGACGGTGCCATTGAGCTAGTGTCCACCGGGGCCTTTCATCCAGGATAGGCTGCACAGTACTTATTACTGTGCTTATTTTACAGATGTTGAAAAGAGGATCAAGAAATTAAATAACTTGCCAAAAGTCACAGCTCTCAAGTGTCAGATGCTGGATGAAAACCTGGCCTTTGTTTATTCTGCACATGCTGTGAGGGAGTGTGATTTTTAACTGCCTCCTACCAAGGCTTCCAATGTTCATGAACATATTTATTTTATTTTTATCTCTTTTGTTTCATCATATGAAGCATGTTTTCAAGGTGGATGGCAGGGGAAAGGGGAAAAAGATCAGATAACTTCAATGATCTTTCTACAGATGAGACTCTGGTCCTTTTCTCACTTCCCTTTTCCATCCTTTGTAACTTATGTTCTTTGGCCAAATAACACACATTCTCATGTTCCACAATTTTGTGTCCTCCCACTCTTCATTTCACTGATTCTGCGATGCACCACATTTATCTGATTATTTATCTTATTTCCCATATGAATAAATGTCAGAATTTTAAAATATTATTATTTATCTTATTTCCCATATGCACAAATGTCAGAATTTTTTTTTGTTTGTGTGTGTGTGTGTTTTTTTTTTTTTTTTTTTTTTTTTTTTGAGACTGCAGCTTGCTCTGTCACCCGGGTTGGAATGCAGCAGCACAATCATGTCTCACTGCAGCCTCAACTTCCCAGGCTCAAGTGGTCCTCCCACCTCAGCCTCCCAAGTAGCTGGGACTACAGGTATGCACCACCATGCCTGGCTAATGTTTGTTTTTTGTAGAGACACATTTCACCATATTGACCAGGCTGGTTTCAAACTCCTGCACTCAAGTCATCTGCCTGCCTCAGCCTCCCAAAATGCGGGGATTAGAGGTATGAGCCACTATGCCTAGCTATTTTGTTCACTTTTATTTTTAACAATACACAGTCACTTGTTTTAGTGAGAATCTTCTTCCACGTGTACGTACTGTCTATCAAGTTAACCATGTAGCTTCAATGTGTACACCATGAGCAGTCCTCCTAGTTAATATCTAACTTTATATAACATCTCAATTTCACATCTGCACCCTCCAAGTTTTGGGATGCAGCAATATTTAGAGCTGTACCTCCAGATTATTCACCATCTCTTGAATTCAGAAACAAAATGGCAACATTTCCAAAACTCTCATTTAAGTGTTTTATTGATTATTTTCAGAAATACTCTTGTGTTCATCTTATCCAGTAATACACTTATCAAAATTCTGTTTTGCTTTAGAAAACATACACCAAAAGCACGTTTTATTTTGGAATTTCATTTGAATTTTAAGAATGACTAAGAATGCACCAGAGGTGTATTTTTTTATACTGATTTTTATATAAATTCCCATTAATGAGAAGATCTATGTAAATCAGTATATCTCTATTTTGACTCCTTATGTCTCTCTTAGAATTTGTATCTGTTCTCTATATTACTTAACTGTTTTAAAGCTCCATTATTCTCTTTGTCTTAGCCTGCTGAATAAAATCTATATGTAATTGCTCTATTAAAATCATGGTTCCAGTGCTTCTTATATGCATAGGGTCAAGATATATAACAAAGCATTATATGTTTACAAAGGCATATCACTTGAATCTGGAATGTTAATGGGTTCTACATTTATTTTTAATCTAACAACTGAAATTTGAAATGTTACAATTCTTTCTAATTTGATTTCGAATTGAAACTCCAATGCTTTGGCTGATGTGAAGTGAGCTTGATAATTGAACAATTTCTTAAGAAAATAAGAATTAAATTTCTCATTTGAGAAGAAAAGAAAACAATCTTGATAATTTCTGTTTCTGTAGCAAAGTTTCTGATTTTCATACAAAATTAATAAACATATACAGTAATATTAATTTTTGAGCATGCTATAAATTTAATTAGGCATAATGGGCTTACTTTAATTTCATACTCTTTGCTTTTAGTGCAAATAGTATTTTATTTGTTATACTTGTGAGACAGTGTATATTTTTCCACTATATAGTTTGTTTCTAATTTTAAAAGCATGTTATAAAATATAAGATTAATTTTTCAATTGTACATTATATTTCTATAATTTTAGTCTCTAGTTAATATATTTTCCAATCTAATTTTCATCCTAGGAACTAGTGTCTCTTCATGGAAATACTTCTAATTCATTGTACTAAAGAAATTAAAAATCAAATGATAAACTTGGACATTTTCTGTATGGTACCATGGCATTCATTGCCTCTTGTCCCCTTTCTTTAGCTAAATTCTTTAACTTTCATTCTTTTCAGGACAAAATGAATCTGGAACTTCCATAACTTCCTCAACGTAATAGTTAACAAATCATTAAATAGCATACTTCATTATACATGGTAAGAGCCGATATTCTGGATCATCCTCTCACATGATTTTTAAAAATACTACTTTTAAAATGTACATATTAAGAGTGTTTTTTATGGTCAAGTATGGTAAGTTTTTACTTCAATAATAAATAGAATTTATATATTTTATTTATTTAAAGTGATAAACCTGCTGGATTCATCTATGTACATTTATTTGCATAATTAAATAGTATATGTGAGTTAAATTGCCTAAGTTGTTTGTAGTTTATTAAAATGCAGCATTGCAAATTTACCAAGTATCAACTACATTTTCTATAGACGGCATGATATATTAAATCTACATATGGGTATTTATTTAAGTGTTCTGTATTTCTTATTTTTTCATTAGATAAATAGTTATAGCCATTTTATATTTAAATATGTATTTCAGATTTATGATGTTTCCGTCTGGATTTAACTGATTTGATATCTTGACCATTTTTGGTAAGATTTTAACCTTTTTTTTTCCTGAGACATAGGAACAGAACCCTAAACTAATTGGCTACAAATCTTAGGACCAATATGTTGGTGTTAGAAATGGTATCAATTAAGATAAAGGATTAAGTAAAGCACATAGAACAACAAAAATAAAAAATAAACATCTTAATGCAATGTTTTTGCCAAGTGATTAAAAATATGCTAACAAGAAACGAATCGATAAGTTCAATTTTTGTGTGTGTGAGCCGATGTTAAGATAACCTTCCATTTGAGCAGTTAGAAGTACAGCTGAATCCTCTGGAGAAACGCTGTTCTTTAAATTTTACGGGCTGAGAGCAACTCTCCATAGTAGATCCCATTCTCTCTTTACATATGAATCCAGAGAACATTTGTTGGGCACCTATTTTGGGTTGGACAATGTGCCGAGTACTTAATTCACACGATCTTGTGCAATTCTTATACAACCCGGCTGAATTCATACTGTTATCCCATTTTATGGATTAGAAAACTGAGGCCAGATAATAATCACTCAATTTCACTAAGCAGTGAGTGGTGGAGCCAGAGTTCCAGGTGGACCTGACTCCAACACCCGGGCTCTTTCACAACAAGAGTCAACATCTCTGTGACCATCAGAGATGAATATGTGTCCACTTTACAGAGTCTATCACAAACTTACCTGTCATAATACATTTTGTCTCAGGGCCAAACATTTTAATGATATCATTTCATACATTATATATGAGCACTTTATAGAAGTCCATATATGCACAAAGCCAAATCCTATTATGATATTTGTGCAATGTTATCTATGTTCTCTTTTAGTATGAGCATTTGTTTTAAAGTCTCTCCTGAGATTTCTACATCAAATCCCCATCTAATTCCTCTTTTTCTAAACATTATTACATTGTTCCAATGTAATCATTTCTTGCCTTCCCTCTATTACCTTGGAAATATTGTATTCTTCTGATACTTACCTGTGACAACAAGGGTTGTTCCACTGCCAAAGAGTTTCCTATAATTCCACAATGATTCAGTCCATATCAAAAACTCTAATTCAGTTTCCCTGAGTTCTTCAAATTCTGGTGGTCTGGGATTCTCAAAAGACCAGGTTTCCAGTCCTGGTTAATTTTGCTCATAACAAGTTCTGTTGCTTCACAAATCAAATAACTTAAAGCTTTTGGTGTTTTATTTTTTATTTATTTATTTATTTTTGAGACGGAGTCTCACTCTGTCGCCCAGGCTGGAGTGCAGTGGCGCGATCTCAGCTCACTGCAAGCTCCGCCTCCCGGGCCCACACCATTCTCCTGCCTCAGCCTCCTGAGTAGCTGCGACCACAGGCGCCCACCACCTCGCCCGGCTAATTTTTTGTATTTTTAGTAGAGACGGGGTTTCACCGTGTTAGCCAGGATGGTCTTGATCTCCTGACCTTGTGATCCGCCCGCCTTGGCCTCCCAAAGTGCTGGGATTACAGGCGTGAGCCACCGTGCCTGGTCTGGTGTTTTATTTATCTAAAAACAGTGATGTTAGTGGAAATCAGTTCAACATCGCTATCAGCACTGAAGTGAGACCAAAATGAGACAAGATATAAAAAAGCAATTTGATTAAAATGTTATAGGTCCCAGTGCAGTGGCTCGTGCCTATAATCCCAGCACTTTGGGAGGCTGAGGTGGGAGGATTGTTTGAGCTCAGAACTTCGAGGCCAGCCTGGGCAACATAGTACCTAGTGAGACTCCATCTTTACTAAAAATAAAAAAAGCATTAGCTGAGCATGATGTGCATGCCTGTAGGCCCAGCTACTCAAGAGGCTGAGGCAGGAGGGTCACTTGAGCCTAGGAGTTTGAGGCTGCAGTGAGCCTTGATCACACCACTGCACACCCACCTGGGCAATAGGGGAAGACCGTGTCTCAAAAAAAAGTGCTATGGAAATATAAGAGGTTATGATGATGATGTCATCATCATTGTTATGATTAGCAATCTGTTTGCTACGATTGTGTGCCTTGACATGACATTTTAACGCTATAGGACCAAGCATTGCCTTTACTAAAAAAAAATTCAGCGTTTTAGAGTGTGGCGGTTAAATCCGTAGCAATTAAGCAGGAAGAATCACTTCTTTCTCAGTTCCTCTGTTTGCATTCCACTTTGCTCTGACATGCCTGGGATTCTGAAAGCCATCATCCCCATCATCACAAGAAACATGCCTTCCACACGCCCAATCTTTAATAGGCTATCATTTGCCTTACCTGCCGTGTTAAGAAAATCAAAGGGAACATTGGCTAAAGTATAATATATGCAGTCAGTGTATAGAAATTCTTCACTTTTGTTTTTCAAAACAAGTGAGGTTTTTTCTAATCAGCAGCACACCTTATTTGCCTTCCAAGTTTCACCAGAAACTTCAGCCTCAAACTGACTTCTGTCTAGTTCATGCCAAAGTCCAGCTTAAAACACCTGGCTTGACCCTTCAAGGCAGAATGGCTAGAGACATGGCAGGAGGCCTGGTCCTCAAATCCATCTTTCTGTCGTCACTTTAGATCACTACGTGTTATCTGCCTGACCGTGTCTGCTGAGCATCACCATCTGTGCATGTCATTAAATGTCAGGCTGCCCATAGCACTCATACAGTGGTAATATGCAATGGGTTTGTTTCATGACCATTCCTTTCATTTTCCAAAATGGAATTTGAAGGCAATGGCCCACTCTTCCATTTCCTTCTAAAGGACTCATGCACTGAAGTCCTTGTCTAATTTAGTAATAGAAAAAAATATGATATTTGAAAATTTGATGCGCTTCTTTTTATCAGTTAGTAAGAAGTATGTATTCCCCTACCTTTTTCTCCTTCCTTTGATCATCAGATTTTAACCTGTGCTCCTTGCTAGGTAATCACAGGCCTTTTTCCTTCTTTCCTTGGAGCTTTAGATCATCTGCATTTATTTAATGGTCTGACTGTGCTTGTGTGTTTTAACTTAGGTCTTCTCAAATAGATTTTGGAACAGGTAGCTTAAATAAATAACAAATAGTTTGTGCATTCAGCACGTTTCTCTTTTGTCCTCAGGAGTGGATTGTTTTGTAAGGTCAAGCTCAAATAAAACACAAGGAATGGAGAACACGTTTGCAAATCCTAGCTCTGTGATAGGGACACCTACATACTAAATTTAGATAGACGGGAAGTGCCAGACCATAAAATGAGGCTTTCGTTTCTTTCTCTCACAACATGGAGAGGTGCCTTGTGTATGGTACAGTCTTTGTGTAACGTCTCATATTAAAAAATGTTCTTCTAATACCCTGCTTTGATCCAGAAGGACGAACTGGATGAGATATCGCATGAAATGAACTCAGTGAATGCTAGCTTTGGTAATGGTAAAAGGAAATAAAAGCAAAGAAATTTATCATGGATTTGGTCATTATTACTTGGGGCGAAAGTCCCTGTAGTTTTTACTTACTTCATACAAATATAGAATAACAGAATAAATCGGAAAAAATAATTTCCTTTCATTTTGTGAGTGGATAATTGTTTCTTAGAATAAAATATTCAGGGACACCATCGTAAGGGGATTCCACAGTGGAGACTGAGACCTGAGATGCCTTAGAAAGTTGCTCCAAAGTAGTTGCTTTAGATGCATGTGAAGCATCAAAACAAAATCTTTAATGAAATACAAGGGCCACAAAGCCAATATTTCTCAATTGTAGGCATGATCCAGTTAGGAAATTAAATGTTATCAGTTGACATTTGACTGTTTTACCTGTATCCCTATAAATTTACATATTCTAGTTGGGGAAGGGGAAAATATATATTTTCTTAAACTTGTATAAATTTTCTCTGGAAAATGGAAAATCACCTTGTATTCAGGCACATCATATTTGAGATAATATGTAAAATATTCTAATTGCTTTTAGAAGCAGGTACAATTAGTCTTTTAGAAATAGAAAGCATTTTACAAATAGTGATATTTGTTCTGAAGTGAGCTATTGAATAGATGGGGGTTGATACATTTATCTATATTCCTGAGTGTATAAAGACCTCTCATGGGTAGTAACTTGAATTCTGGAAGAGGAATTAATATTTCTATCACCTACCAAGTGCCAGGCATTCTGGTGGGTAATTTCCATATTTAATTTCATGTAATATATACAACATTTCCTTGAGATACATAATCTCCATTACCTTCATTGTACAGATCAACTTGAAATTGCAACTTTCAACTTTGCTCTGTTATTGCAAAATATTAAGGACATTTGAAAAGAATGTTTATGAAGTAGTGTGACGTGAAAAAGCCAGATCTATTATTGTGTGTCTAGTATGATTCCAACTTTGTAAAGCAAACAAACAAAAAGCATAGGAAAAATGTTGAAATAAAAGTGTAACAAAATGATAATGTGATGAGGATCAATATCATATTTTAAAGCTTTGTTTATTTTTGTGTGTTTTCGAATTTTTCTATAATGAACCAGCATTTTTATAATCTGAATACTTGGTGAATCAAAATACACTTCCTAAAGGGCAGTTACATAGAAAGTGGCAGCCCCAGGAGTCATCGAGAAATAAAGTCCATACCTTTTCCTTCACCGCACTTTCCTGAAAAATCACTTCTCAGAAAACCACAAATTATAACTTTGATTGCTACCATTCACATTAAGTCAACTGGATGAAAGAGAATCAGAAGGTCACTTTTTAACTTATAAGTTAATTTCATCATACGATCTCAACCACTAAGGAAACAAAAACATATAATTGCTTTTACTTTTCTTTTTTTCTTTTTTTTTTTTTTTTTTGAGACGGAGTCTTGCTCTGTCACCCAGGCTGGAGTGCAGTGGCGGGATCTCGGCTCACTGCAACCTCTGCCTCCCGGGTTCACGCCATTCTCCTGCCTCAGCCTCCCGAGTAGCTGGGACTACAGGCGCCCGCTACCTCGCCCGGCTAGTTTTTTTGTATTTTTTTAGTAGAGACGGGGTTTCACCGTGTTAGCCAGGATGGTCTCGATCTCCTGACCTCGTGATCCGCCCATCTCGGCCTCCCAAAGTGCTGGGATTACAGGCTTGAGCCACCGCGCCCGGCGCTTTTACTTTTCTTATTGCTGTATCAACTTTGTGAAAATTCTCTGAAAACTTTCATTTCAGTGGATGTAATAGACTGAGAGTATCTTTGTAGGATGTTTCCTCTCATCCAGGCAAAATTACATGTGAAGCTAACACATAATAAATAAATTTATTGGACTGATTTAAAAAAACAGTAAATGCAGCTTATGTCACTTTTGAGTATGGTCACACTGTGAAATATTTCGACATTTGATATTAATCATTCTTTGGTCAAATTATCAAATATTTCACCTTCTGGTGACCAAATGAGGAGGG